GAGTTGTGCTAAAAGGCGAACCAGAAGCTTTCGAGTATTCAAAACATACATTCAAAGAGGCAAAGTTTTAAATCACATTAAATAGAGGAATCGTACGAGGGGGCGGGAACTTGTAATGATGACCAAAAAAACGTGTGCATTCTGACACACATTGGAATGAGGTTAACTACCTAATTTTTAATTTTCCAAATTCGAAGCCAAACACGCCGACTAACTGGTGTTAGTGGGGTGTTTGGGGGGCAATTGTGGGAGCTTAATAATTGAGGACTCAGATAGGCTGAGCATATATTTACAAAATCAGGATATATAATATATTCCCTCGTCTCTTACGTTCTAGGAGACGAGCATCCTAATCGTCCATAAAGCCAGTTGAGCAGAAGGCCGAATAGAAGTAGGAATACAACAAATAGAAGGCCGAATGAACAATCACACAAGGGATTAAGAGTGGGCCATACTCTGAGGACCAGGGGTGGATATAAATAGAAAAACAACAACCAAAAAGGAGATATGTGAGAATTAGTATGTTTAACTTAAGATACAAGTAATCAAGAGAGTATACACTAACTTGTCTATCGGAGTGCTAATTTCGGCACCCCCGACCGGAGTGTTCATTTCTTTTCAGGTTACTAGCTGAGGATCTCGAGTGTCCCATTGGATCAAAAGAATATTTCCAAACCACTTCTCCGTAGAGTTTTTTCTAGTATTACATGTTGTATATGGTAGTTATACATGTTATGAACTCAAGTTGGCTCCATTTTTTGTTGTAAAACTAAGAACTCTTCTTAGAGAATCTGCAACTTGAGGATTCTATTCCTTAATCCAAACTAGTGTAAGTACCTATAATGTGCACAAATTCGTCTAATAATTAGATTACATTAAATGATGCAAAAATAGCTTTAAAGCACTTTATGTTTGTTATGTTTCTGTGTTGATTCAGCTTAGGGAATACATGCTTTTGATTTGATTCCATATTTTTACTTCACATACTATTGACAAAGGAATATGCATTCCCTTGATTGTCTAGTTCTCTGTTTCTCAATCGTGGGGAGCAAATGTCCCCTTTTATCAAAACATGTGTGCCACTCACCTTTGAGGTTTTTTGTGATTTCTTGCGAGTTTTGATTTTGTTCTTTTAAAACAGACAAGAGTTGAGTGGTAGTACTTGTGTTTTCTAACTTTTTTAAAGTTAACAGAAAAAAAAACATTTGGTGTGTTCACATGCAACAAATGGTTTCCTATATTTTTAGAGGCCCTTTTTTTAAAAAAAAAAAATTAAGTTGATTCTATTTCTAGACTTACTTCCAAGACCATTTTTTCTTTCTATAACTAGAAAGCATTACTTGATTTCTTGAAGATCATTCTTTGAAAACTTAATGCGTCGTGAGCGTTATTTATGGTGATTTGGATAAGTGGACAACTTCTAGTTTTTGCTACTTTACTGTTACTCATTTATGGGCCATACCAGCTTAGGTATTTGTCGGTTTTTGTGTGTGTTTGTGTGTTTGTGTGTGTTCGATAATTGTATATTTTTTATATCAATCTTAATTGAACGCATACTGATTTGATTGTTGTTTTTGTTTGATAGGAAGAGACATGGATAGTGCCATGATCACTTCAAGCACAAACGCAAGAAACAGGCTCGTGAGGTTCACAAGCAATCTCAGATTGCTCAGAAGGTTCAGTACGAGAAAACTCTTTTTGTTGTTCTGTTTAATTATCTACTGTTCTATTTGTGTCTTTGTTTTTGTAGTCAAGCTATTACAGAAGTCCAATCTCAACTTTCTTTGTATTGATCTTCTTTAATCTTCTCTCTGTGACCTTTGAACATTTGTGCACAACCTAATAGGATTTGCTTAAAATTAGAATGTGATTGGTATTAATTAAGATTGATTCAATTAAGATTAGATTATGATAAATTAGATTAATGAAAATTAAGTGCTAATCATAATTAAGTATGATTAAGTGTTATGTAATTAAGCTAATACATAATTAGTGCTTAATCTAATCCTAATCATCTCATAAGTTTTTTTTTTTTTTTTGTGATCGGCAAAGAAAATCTTTATTGATGAAAGTATACAAAAAGGATACAGTACATCAATAAAGAGGAGCTTGGAGCTAACTGAAGCTCCAAGCTCCAGTTGGTGAGAAACCAACAACAACACAAAAAGGAACAGAAATGAAGCAAACAGACTGCATATCAGGAAATTGCACTGAACACAAACACCAAAAACTGAGCAAAACTCCTACAACAACTGGGCTTGAAACAATCCTGTTCAGAAAAAGGAAGCAATCCTGTTCAGAAATAGAACCACCATCTGGGCTTGAAACACCAAATCACACAACTGATAAATCTGACCAACAAATGGGGCTTAAGGAACAAAACCACTGTAGAGAAACTAGATCAATCTCCACCCAGATTCAAAGCAAAATGTAGCACACAAATTGAGACCAATCCATTGAACTGATAAATCTGGATAGCAAGGAATTAGATCTGGACACCCAAAATTGAACCACTGCTAATTCTATGCCAGGAAAGAAATAGATTGAAACCCTGTACTACAACAGATAGAGTAATGGAGCAGCACTACAACCTCCCCTACAACCAACTGACTACAACACAGCCAAGCAACACCCCAAACTGCAGAAAAGGGAGCAGAGCAGATCAGAGCAGTCACCAATGCTATACATCAGATATACTTCAGATTGCAGATTAGTCTTCATAACATGCAGACTATACATCATATATACTTCAATTTTGCACAGATGCAAAGCTGGGTGAGGACACCTAAACCCAAAAATTACACAGACTACACCTCTGGCCTTAGTTCAGAATTTCTACCCTTTAGAACAACAGCATAGCTACACCACACAGATGCAAATCTACACACTACCACCCTTCAGAGTTTCCACACTGCAACACACATCTGTTCCTCAGCACAGATGACAACACAACAAAAACACACCAGCAAAGGCACACTACAGCACACTACAGCAGTTCAGCCCATTGCACCTACCCCTCCCAAACACCTCCTAATTTGCCTCAGATTGGTTCCAAAATCCTATACAGAGAACTGAAAATCTCTTAGATATGGATTTACCCAGAAAGCAATCCTGTTTTTAATTAATTCACAGAGATCCTCTAAATTTAGGGGAGTTGCTCTGAAGACACACTCATTCCTGCATCTCCAAACTGACCACATCACTGCCAATGGGATTGCCCCCCAAATCAACCTTTCTTTCTTCTTTAACTTTCCCCCAGCCCACCACAGGAGGAGACTCTCCACAGAGCATGGCAAAGCAGATTGGACATCCCACCACTTTAGCATTTCAGTCCATATGTTCCACACAAATGGGCACCAGATTAAGACATGGTTCAATGATTCACTTTCGCTGTTACAAAACACACAAACTGTGGAGTCATTTTCACAGATCACTCCCAGCTTTTGTAAAAACTCCCTGGTCTTAATTCTCATTTTCCAAGCAAACCACCCAAACAATTGTACCTTAGGAGGGACATGTTTGAGCCATAACAATTTAGTAATTCTCTGGGTGGCACCAGCATTATTCACAACAAAACTATACAAATCTGCTACTTTTAGGACCCCAAGAGATGAAGCTGCCCAAGCTGGATGATCTTCACACTCAACACAAAGATCAGGGGCTGCCACCAGGAGATTAATGAGCCTAACCAATTCCAGCTCCTCCCATTCATATAGCTGTCTTCTAAAATCAAAAGACCAAGCCCCTGCTATGTTTTTTTATCAACCAAGACTCTCAAGCACTCTTTTTTCTCCAAAGACAACCTATTCAAAGTTGGAAATTCATCTTTCAGACACACAGATTGACACCAAGCATCTGACCAAAATCTAATCCGCACCCCATCCCCTACTTTCAATTTGAAATTATGCAAATAAAACTCCTTTAAGCTACTGCTCTGCTCAGCAACCGACATAATTCCATTCCACACCACTGAGTACCCATTGGATGGATTTAAAAATGTAAACCAACTAGTCACCTTCAACTTATATCTACTACAAATGATTTTTTTCCACAAAGCATCCTTTTCACTACCAAACCTCCACCACCACTTGACTAGCAAGCATTTATTTACATCCCTCAAGTTTCTAATGCCCAAACCACCTTGATCTACTCTTTTTGACATTTCCTCCCATTTTATCATATGAATTTTCCTTTTCGAATCAGAACCACCCCATAAGAAATTAGCTTGAAGCTTCTCTAATTCTTTAGCAACCCCTTCAGGAATTTTAAACAATGATAAATAAAACACAGGCAAAGCTGAAGTTACTGATTTAACCAGTATTAACCTTCCCGCAAAAGACAGCATCTTCCTCTTCCACCCAGCTAGTTTACTTTTCACTTTATCCACTACTTGTTTCCAAGTAGCTAACCTCCTTGGATTAGCTCCTAGTGGCATCCCTAGATAAGTAAGTGGCAAACATTTAACTTTACAATTTAGGATTGCAGCCATATCATTCATCATCTCCGCAGAAACACCCACACCACATACCAGGCTCTTGTGAAAATTTATCTTCAAACCAAACATGATTTCAAATCACCTTAGCACCCTTTTCAATTTCCTCACCTCCTCCACATCTGCTTCACTGAATAAAAGTGAATCATCCGTAAACTGTAAATGAGTTAACACCATCCCCTCACAACCTACTTTTACCCCTTTGATTAGGTTTAACTCACAAGCTCTACTCAATAACATGTGTAGGCCTTTAGCTACTAAATTGAACAGAAAAGGGGATAGGGGGTCACCTTGCCTTAGCCCCCTTTGAGGGCTAAACTCTTCGGTAGGAGAACCATTGACGAGTACTGAGACCCTTGTAGTTGTAACACACTACTTCATCCAATTAATCCATTTAGCTCCAAACACAAACTTGGAGAACATATCAAACAGAAAAACCCCAATTAATAGAGTCATATGCTTTCTCAAAATCCAACTTAATGAGCACACCCTTCTTCTTGGCCTTCTTCTAACCCTCGACAACCTCATTAGCAACAAGTACTCCATCTAGAATATTCCTCCCGCTTAAAAATGCAGACTGAGGCTCACTAATAATATGTGGCATTATGGATTTCAATCTGTTTGCCAACAGTTTTGCTATGATCTTGTACATTGAGCCTACCAAACTTATTGGTCTGTAATCAGAAAGCCCTAGTGGATTATCTCTCTTCGGAATAAGGGTTATGAAAGAGCTATTTATACCTTTAACCAATTTGCCATTCGTATGAAATTCTTTCACAAAATTAATGACATCGCCCTTCATCACCTTCCAAAACTTCTGATAACACAGCAAATTAAACCCATCCAGACCTGGTGCTTTATTCCCATCACAATCCATCACTGTAGATTTAATTTCTGATTCTGTAAATTCTGCTTCTAGCAATCCGAAACACACCCTGCCTTCAACTGATGGAAACTGACCCCCCAGCACAGGTCTTGAAGGCCATAGTTCTGCATACTGTAACTTAAAAAATTCCAGCACTTTACTTTTCACTTGACTTGGATCATCAAACACCAGCTCCCCTTCTGAAATAGAGTTTATCTCATTTCTTATTGTTCTACACTTGACTTAGATCATCAAACACCACCTCCCCTTCTGAAATAGAGTTTATCTCATTTCTTATTGTTCTACACTTTGTAATGACATGAAAAAATCTTGTATTTTTATCCCCTTTCATGGCCTAGTTAAGCCTAGACTTTTGCAACCATAGCCACTCCACCATCCTACTCAACCTCCACATTTCAGCTCTAGCTTTACTTCTCATTTTTTCCTCTCCATCAAGGTCTCTAACCTCAGCCAGCAGATCAAAGCTATGAAGCTCACCCTCTACTAACTTCCATTTATTTATAACATTACCAAACACCTCCACATTCCAACTTTTAAGACCATTTTTCAAGAACTTAAGCTTCTGTGCCAGAATAAAACCAGCCCAACCCACAACAGTGGCCTCTTCCCATTTAGACTCCCAGAATCTTCTATGGTTTTTATGCAAGAACCAAGCATTTAGAACCCTAAAAGGCTTTGGGCCCCAATCCCTCTCATCCTCCATCATAAGGAGAGGGCAATGATCCGAGACCAAACGAGGCAAACCCCATAACTTTAACTTGAACACCTCAAGCCATTTTGGATCTACTAACACTCTATCTATTTTGCTCCACTTCTCCTCAACAAATGAATTACACCAAGTAAATCTCCTTCCAAGTAAAGGTAATTCAGAAACCTCACACTTATCAATGAACTCATTAAATTCATTCATGCCTCTATCCCTCCTTGAGCACCCTCTCCTTTCCCCAATCTGTCTAATCTCATTGAAATCTCCTCCTAAACACCAAGGATCAGGAAACTCCTCCTTCAATTTCAATAAACAATTCCACAGCTTCCCTCTTGAGCCCACATCATTCGATGCATAAATGTTTATAATAACACAATTGAACTGATGGAATAAAGTACCTGATAATAGGATGAACCTTCTATTGTTGCAGCATTCCTTCACTTGGAATACATCTAGGTCCCATATACACAATAACCCTCCTGCCGAGGCTTCAGCATCCACCACCATAAACTCCATTTTGGCTCTAACCCATACAGATCTGACATCTTCCTCTGAAAACTCTGACTTTTTTGTCTCTTGGAACAGTACCATGTCTACACTCCTCTCCTTTAAGAGCTTCTTCACTTTGCTTCTCTTCTCCATCCTCCCCAACCCTCTAACATTCCATGAAAGCAACTTCATAATTAACCATGTTTACACCTATCTACCCCCCTGCTAGTGTACTTTATAGCCCAGCTTTCTTCCCCCCTTCAATACGCTCCATATCCTTCAATTCAAGATCCACTATTTCCTTCACCACTTTAGCTCTCTTTCCATTAAACTGCATCCCGAGAATTTCTCCCATTTCTACGGTTGCTTCGGCTTCATTCAGTATAAACCTCCCTTTGTCGACTCCACCCTCTATTGAAGCAAATAGAGACGTTGCCGCCACTGCTGCACGCCAAGCTGCTGCCTTGCGCATGGCTCTACTAGTTGAAGCACCTCTGCTCCCATACTGCCTCATCATCTCGAAGGGTCTTCTCCTTAAAATGTTCTGATTAGATTTTCTCCTACTGTTACTCCTCTCCTTTACCTTTTCCTTTCCCTTCCTACATCTTGAATGCTTATTACTTGGCTCATTCTCTTGGGCTTCAGAGAGGCTTGACAGTCTCCCACAATTCCCTACTTCAGCAGCGTTAATTCTTTCAGATGATTCCTACTGCCCCAGCCCAGTTTCTATTGGCCCCAGCCCAATTTCTGCTTGACACTGCCCACCCACTTGCTTTAATAAATTATTATGGCCCAAGACTACTTCTATATTCACACCAGACCTTTCATGGCTAGACCCTCCAAGACTTCTAACAAAACCTGGCGTGCCCACTTGGTTCTCCAAACTCTCACTGACAACCGTCTCCTCCTCAGAGCTGATCCTCTGGCTTCGCACTTCCATCATTTCTTTGCATGACTCATCACTCATTTCTTTCCCCCCATCACTTCGAACATTTTAAGCTTCACCTACACTCCTCCAGCATGCCACATTTTCCACCTCCTTCCTCACACTACGACTACTTGGTCTGGTTTCTTGGTCCACCCCAAAGCCAACCTCCAGGTCAACAACGAACTCCTCCTCCATGTCAGCCGCATTATCTACTTCTGTTCTGCAATTTTTATCCTCATCTTATTCTCCCAGCACATTTGAACTACCAAACTCATCTACAACTTGATGCTTATGGCATCTACATGTAAATTTCAAAGCTCTGACCGTTACCACCTGTTCTTCACAGACTCTTACTGGAAATACCATACCTCTGCATTCCAGTTGCACAACTGAGTTTATGGGATCCATCCATTTAGTGGATACCTTAAGCTTAGCACACACAAAGGATAGTGGTTGACTCATATCCCCTTCAAAACATAGCACCTGCCCCCAGATCCCACCTATCTTTCTGAGATTGGAACTATTCCACAGATGTAATGGGATTCCATAGCAACTTAACCATACACATCTTTCCTGCTCCAGTACTTGCCCAGATTGTCCTTCAGTAATATCTTCACACCAATCCATGATCAGCTCCTTACTAGCTGGTAGCTTCAATGCCCTCTCCTCCTTAGATTTGAACGTAATTACTACATCTCTTCCCCCACTTTCCCTCACCATGATATCCTCCACTCCTATTGCTGCCAATTCCTTTTTCAGACTAGCATCAGCAAATTGGGCCTTCAATCTTACCCTCCAGCATGCCACATTTTCCACCTCCTTCCTCACACTACGACTACTTCGTCTGGTTTCTTGGTCCACCCCAAAGCCAACCTCCAGGTCAGCAACGAACTCCTCCTCCATGTCAGCCGCGTTATCTACTTCTGTTCTACAATTTTTATCCTCATCTTATTCTCCCAGCACATTTGAACTACCAAACTCATCTACAACTTGATGCTTATGGCATCTACATGTAAATTTCAAAGCTCTGACCGTTACCACCTGTTCTTCACAAACTCTTATTGGAAATACCATACCTCTGCATTCCAGTTGCACAACTGAGTTTATGGGATCCATCCCTTTAGTGGATACCTTAAGCTTAGCACACACAAAGGATAGTGGTTGACTCATATCCCCTTCAAAACATAGCACCTGCCCCCAGATCCCACCTATCTTTCTGAGATTGGAACTATTCCACAGATGTAATGGGATTCCATAGCAACTTAACCATACACATCTTTCCTGCTCCAGTACTTGCCCAGATTGTCCTTCAGTAATATCGTCACACCACTCCGTGATCAGCTCCTTAATAGCTGATAATTTCAATGCCCTATCCTCCATTGATTTAAACGTAATTACCACATCTCTTCCCCCACTTTCCCTCACCATGATATCCTCCACTCCTATTGCTGCCAATTCCTTTTTCAGACTAACATCAGCAAATTGGGCCTTCAATCTTACAATGATACTCTCAAACAACCAGCCATTTCCTACCTCCTCTGCCTTTAGTAAGATGTTTCCTATTTCCCCTGTCCTTTTTCCTTCTACAGCCTCTGCATAGGATCTCCTATCTCTGATGCCATGAGCCCCGTCTCTAACCACTCCAGCTTGCACGGCGTTTGCTACTGGTCTCTGCACTTCCTTATGTACTGGTAGTCTTTCATCTTTATCAACTCCCTTTTCCTTCCCAAACTCTACGTGGTTAACCTATAATGGTCGATCGTCCACCCACAAGCCATTTGCCTTCTGTACAGTTATCTTGGCTGCTACATAGCAATTAAATCTCACAAAGCCAACCACGTGTTAGAGACCTTCCTTCTCTTCTGTGGTATAAAAACATCTAGGACCACTCCAAACTTTGAAAATAGATTGAACAGCTCCTTAGGGTTCAGCGATGCTGGTAGGTTATCCACGAACACAGTGAACATGCTTGCATTTCCCCTCGACCTCCATGGCCCTGATCTTCCTCTGCCCTTCACGACTGGTATCCACCCTCCTGCCATGACTTCCTTGAATCGCAACAGAGGACCTGCACAATATACTTTTTGCCTTCTCTTAATGCCTTCGCCTTGATCTTGTACTGAGAATCTTCAATGAAACTTCGCACTTTGATTGGCGATCGGTGAAGAGATGATCGGCGATCAGTGGCACTTCGCACTTACCTTTAATCATCTCATAAGTTATAGAAATGTCTAGAGCTTTTAAGTTGTATGTGTGCTATGTATGTTGAAGTCATTCAAGAGTGTGTGCATGTGTGTGTTGTGTATAACCATTGTACTGAAGCAAACTTAGAGAGAGAGAGAGAGAGAGAATTGAAAGAGAAGAAGAGAAACTAAGAGGGAAATCAATATCATTTTTGGAATTCATTCTCTAGATAAGAATTTGACCTCTAATTCTTGTATTTAATCCACGTAAGAGCTGAATTCAAGAAGTTATTAGAACCATATGTATGAAATTTGTAAGGAATTGTTAAAAAGATGATAAAAATTGAGCTAGGTGTATGTTCATGGTTAATTATGCAGTGTTTCATCATTTTAAGCATAATTTTCATGACCATTGTTGAATCTGAGTGTTAAATCACAGGTGCATCATTGCTTTCCAAGGTTTTGAAGCTTAATTTCATGAGTTCATACATTTAAGTTCATGTTTTGTTCATCAATGAAAAGAAGTTTGAAAATCTTTACATGCATGGCATTTTGATTTCAATTTTTTCAAATTGATGAGGTTTTGGGAAAATAGTTTATATGATCATGAATTCGTATTTTCTGAAGAGTTTCCATATTTTTTATGCAAGACCTCAAGCTTTGAATTTGAGTTCGGAAACCATTTTTGTTGATTTTGAAAAACAAACTCCATGCAAACCACTCGAGCAGTATAGTCACTACTCGAGCGGTGATTTCTAGACCAAATTACTGTTAACATGTGTTCACTGCTCGAGCGGTGAAAGGATTGCTTAATCGGTCACCCAGTTTTTAGCACAAATTTGAAAGGCTATCCTTTATTTGTATTTTTGTTCTGTTCTTTTTCTGAGCATTCTTAGGTATGGTTTAAGCCTCATTAAGAAGTAATAAGCTAGAAACCAACATAAGAAAAGGAATTAGATAAGAGAAGTATTTGATTAGATGGTGTGTTTTAATGTGTATGTTTATGTGCATTGTGTAAGTTGGACACCTGAGGACTAACATCTAAATCAAGCCAACTGTGAGTAATGTATCTATACAGTTATTTTTTAAATATATTTTGAAAATATTTCGAGAATGATGTTTTTATCAAATCTTACTTTCTATGAATGAATGAATGTCCCTTTTTGTTAAATGTAGTTGTTGCATCCTTTAGTGAGGCTTTGCCTTAGGGAATATAATACCATGGCCCTTTGAATATTTGATTTACAGAAATCTCTGATGATTTGACCAGAGTGGTCCCTTCGTTTAGACCTGAAGGGTCCTATTGAAATAGACTTGAGTGGTCCTTTTGATATAGGCCTAAATGGCCCCTTTGTTTTGCGCTATTGAATGCCATCACGTATCATGTTTTGTTAATACAATTCGTTCATATCAAATTCTTTGTTTTGAGAATATAATGAATTTCGTTTGTAACAAATACTTTGTTTGTGAATTCGATACATGATTCGTTTTGTGAATATATGTTTTGAAAATATGATTGTACTTCATTCATTAACCACTTTATATTGATGTTACTCATTGGGCTTTAGCTCACCCCTTTCCCCTTTATGTATGTAGGTGAGCATCAGGAAGATCAATCTTAGAGTTTGCTTTAGAAGTCCACCATTTTGTAAAGCCAACCATGGGGTTGCCTCCATGTAGAGTCGTTTGCTTTTGATTTTGTTTTGACCAAGCTTAGTCCAAGTCTTGTTTTCAGGTCATTATGTTTGGTCTTATGTTTGTATGAGATCACGTTTGTACTCATTGTTCGTGGTTTATCATATAAGCACGACTCAATGGACTTGTTCATTTTCTATTTTGCTTTCCTTTCAGGCCCCAATATATGTTATATATTTTGTGTTTCGACTAAGAGGTCGTAGGTAATCTATGATTACTGGCCGGTCATGTCATTAACCTCTAGGGACGAGTTGGAGTCATAATAGTGTGGTATTAGTGCACGAGTTAATTACCCACACACTTGTCCATTTGAACAATAAGATTGTAGACACCTCATTTTTGACCATTCATAAGATTTGGGCGCTTTGTTCTAGGCACTCGATGAT